CTGTTCCGCGATGAAAACCAGCTTTAAGCAACGGCGTAGTCGAACGGTGTAAGTAATCCTACAATTTTTTGTTTATAGCATAGTTTATACAGATTATTCCCAAAAAATTATACGTATTTTGGAAATGTTGAGTGGAATTAGTCTAGAATCGGTTAATTTTATAGAAGAAAACCTTTCGAACAGCCTTAGTCCGTAAAGTTCCCACCTATCGGGCTGCGATTGGCTCATTCCTACAACGTAATTTTCGGTTAGCGTGGAACGTATCTAAGCGTTATAGGGGGGTCTACTGTATTACTCTTTTATAGTAATAGAAATTGAATATAAACAAAATACAGTGGTAATTAAAACATTAACCCAAGTAATATTCATATAATACTAATAAAAATATAATTGCAGCAATTTTAAGTTCTGGAATTATTTTTTTAGCATTTTATACCAAACTATGTGCCAATGTACTGTACAATACACTTGATTATTCACAAAATCCCAATGGAAAAAGTCCAATGGGTTAAGAACCAATTTAGCATCTAGGAAACTCCATTCAGAAATTTTTTATCTAAATTTCAAATTCTGACACATTCTGTGTCTCAGATCTTTCAAGGTTATTGACATTGTCACACCTCACATGCTACTAAATATATGATTGAAGTGGAATATAAGTTATGCTATGCCACTATTGATGCACATATTAAATATTACAGCGTGTTCGAATGTAAAAAATCTGCCACAGTTTTTGTTGTAGAAGACAAAACTTTTACATTATAGTATGATAAGTTTTCAACTTATACTCTTTCCTTTTATTAAACCTATAAGCCAGACATCCTATATATAAGAATACACACACTACACACAGGGTGATCTAAAAGTGTGGTTGAAAACATCCATTTAAAACAAAACTAGGACATTTAAGCCTTGACAATTAGTAAAGTTATATTAAAATTAAGCCTATCATTGGATTTTTAGTGAAATTCTCTACCAGTCTGACGTCACATGACCCTTTTCCCATTTCAAAAATATTAGAGGAGAATCCAATATGGCAATTTCAAAATGATTGCCATGTTGATGAGATGGCCTAACAAGTTTTCCCTATCTGATATAATGTGTTGAGACTATATTTCTGTCCACCAAACTGTATTTGTTTTATATGGGTGTTTCTACACTTTTTGACCACTTTATATGTTATATGCAGGTAGTTCAAAAGTGGTCCAAGTTAATATATTTTTATAACTTTTATATAAAGAACACATAGTGTATACAAGGTGTATCTACTTTGTCCGGGAACTAAATTTATAAAAAAGTTTTTGGCAGAAATGATTCAATTTAGTATTGGTCTTCTTCAAATTGCACTCCCTCCCCAATCTACACAAATTTTTGCACACTAATGGTAATTTACATATGTCCTTATAAAAGGATCTTTTTAAAATGCTGTTTAATTACAGGTATACCTTGCCTTACGTCAGTGACAATTAGTCTAGTGACAAGTAAATTTGACTTAAGTCAAATTTACTTGTCAAGTTTAGCCTAGTGACAAGTAAATTTGACAAGTGACAAGTAAATTTGACAAAAAGTAGTGACAAGTGGTTTAGCCTAGTGACAAGTAAATTTGACTTAAGTCAAATTTACTTGTCACTAGGCTAAACCACAAATAACCATTCCCATTTCTGTATTTTATTTATAAATGCATTTTTGATAATATATGGTTAATAAGAATCTATTTTAAGCTTACAAACAAATAAATTTTAGTTTTTAACATAGTACAGAAAAAAAAGTAATCTAATTTATGAATACAGGTATGGTACGTACATACTTGTAAATACACATGTTTACAATTTGGCAATGTTTACAGTACATCGCGGACTCTTTATTTGTGAATGTGGTTTGCTCTAAGACATTATAAAATATGATGATTTTGTAACATTAAATAACAAATAGTTATTAAAATTATTTTGTGATAATAAAAAATAAACTAATTTATGTTAAATTTACCAATATCGAGTGGCCCTGATGATGATGCCAAACAGTAGATAGTGGAACTACCGTGGAAAATGCCAATATTGAGCTCTTAAAGACTGCTAAATAAGACAACAACACAGTCACAGATGTTTTCATATTTCATTCTCTACGATTTATGATTACATTAACATTTCCTGTAAATGTATGTATTTTAATGTGATTTTATGCGCTATTAACACTTTTCTAGTGATATTACAACTTCAATATTTGTGGCGGACAGATATAAAGTTGAATAAAATGACTTAAACCTGACTTTTATTTTTCCATATATTTTTTTGACAAACGACTTATAATTGAGAACGACATAACTTGAGGTATACCTGTATTTTCTTATAGCTTCTTTTTTCAAAACTAATTTAATTTTTTTCCTTTTCAAAGAAAATTTTTATTTAGGGAACAGGGCCCTCCAACAGTCTGGAAAGCACAAACTGAAAACTTCATGTTCTCCAAATTAAAATTTGTTTTGAAAGGGAAACAATTTATGTAAATTTTAGAAAACCAAAAGTTGCACAGAGGTAACTAAACAGTATTCAAAAAGATCCTTTTGAGAACATTTGTAAATTACCAGAGTATGAAAAAAGTTGTATAGATCAGGGAAGAATATATTTCAAGACAGATACTACACTGAATCATTTCTGACAAAAGTTTCTTTTTATAAATTTAGTCCCTAAATGTTGTACATTCATTTTGTATATGTCAATGAAAAATATTAATCATTTACTTTCTTATGAATATTGTAATATCAAATTATTAATAATGACAAAATACATTTTCAAATAATGACTATGAATGTGCGATAAATGAATTAAAAAATATGAGCTGGCTTTTGAAAATACAATTATTGCAAAACAAATATAATAAATCAACTTTAAATAATACAGGGGGAGTGCAAAAGTAGGTATATAGTTGAGAATCTGAGAAATACAAATGCTTCGTGTTCATTATTATTATATTATTATTTTTATTATCTTTTATTAGTTCATATTATTTATTTGTGATTTAATTTGTACATATTTGTACATGTTTTTTCTTCCTATTTTCTCCCTGTATGTTTTTTTCCATAACAACAGTTGTATACCTACTTTTGCACCCCCCACTGTATATTAAATTATGTATTCTTTAGATAACCTATGAGAAATAAAACCCAATATATTCTTTTTTTCTTTTTAAAATTTATATATGTATTTCAATTAATAAATATGCAAATATCACAAAATAGTTATTTCTATAATAATCATAATAATTTTGTAATTTGATAAATTCTAGTTATAAAATTTCAAATATTGCAAAAAAATTATCTAAATTTAATTGAGTTTGTTTTACTATAAATTCCCTTTGAATAAACAAATAATTTATCTTTACCTGGTATGAGTTTAATGTACTTATGAATCTTGTCCCAATCATGATTCTTTTCAAAATGCCAATCCAGAATAAAATTACCATTATCAGTTATTACTGGACCCTAAAAAGTAATTATCAATTAAATAATCATCTGTGGAAAAATTAATAATTAAAACAATTAGTAACTTTTTTTCTTAATTTAAACATTTTCATTCAACTTAAAAATAGAATTTTAGTTCATTTGCTTTTAATACACCGGTATACAGTAGATCATCGATTATCCAAATCAATCAATGATTGAGATTGTTCAGAAAATCAATTTTTCGAATAACTGATTATGTACAAAAAAATATATTTACCTATCCCATGTTGAAATTCATTCAAATCCTGGCACATCCTTAAATACCCTCTCACGAACGTGCCAGTGCTGCCAGCTAAAACACACACTTCAACAAAAATAATATTGGAGTAGCCCAAGACATAACCAAAGATTGCAGTGCCACAGCACTAGTGGAAATTTAAATTTTCCGACTGGAAAGCTTTTGGTTAATTGATGTTTTGGTTGATCAATATTCGGATAATCAATGCTCTACTGTATTTACATGTGCAAGAGATAATATATGTATTACTTTTGATTTTTTCCATTTTTGTGTATTACCTATTTCTTTTGGTTTTAGTATTAGTATGATAATTTTGTAATTTATTTACAGTTTTAAGCTGTATGTTTTAGAACACCAGACGATGTTAAGTACAAAAGAAAAGAAAAAGAGGGAACAGAGTTTTGTCTGAAATAACAAACCTATTAAACATTAAAACTGTTAAAAATTGAATTATGACTATTTACAAAAAATTTTTTTAATTTTTCAAGTCTATCTTTCATCCTTTTAACACACCACAGAAGTAACAGTATATTGGCTTGGATGAACTTCCACAGAACACGTGATAAATTATAATAAAAAAACACACAAAGTTAAAAACAATCGAAACGCCGACCTTTTATTTGAGGATTCGGCGTCCTTAAGCATTAAAAACAATGGTTACAATTTCTGACCATAACTCCCATGTTCTTTAGCACAATATATAACTGGTTCAGGCCCTCTGGTGGCGATTTTGGGTAATCATAAAGTTCATTTGCATAACAGCATACATGATAACATGAACAACCCAGGATATTTTCAATTAAAAATTGAATTTTGACTATTTACAAAAAATTTTTTAAATTTTTCGAGTCTATCTTTCATCCTTTTAACACACCACAGAAGTAACAGTATATTGGCTTGGATGAACTTCCACAGAACACGTGATAAATTATAACGAAACACACACAAAGTTAAAAACGATCGAAACGCCGACCTTTTATTTGAGGATTCGGCGTTTTTTAACATTAAAACAATGGTTACCATTTCTGACCATAACTACCATGTTCTTTAGCACAATATATAACTGGTTCAGGCCTCCTGGTGGTGATTTTGGGTAATCATAAAGTTCATTTGCATAACAGCATACATGATAACATGAGCAACCCAGGATATTTTCAATTAAAAATTGAATTTTGACTATTTACAAAAAATTTTTTAATTTTTCGAGTCTATCTTTCATCCTTTTAACACACCACAGAAGTAACAGTATATTGGCTTGGATGAACTTCCACAGAACACGTGATAAATTATAACAAAAAACACACAAAGTTAAAAACAATCGAAACGCCGACCTTTTATTTGAGGATTCGGCGTCCTTAAGCATTAAAAACAATGGTTACAATTTCTGACCATAACTCCCATGTTCTTTAGCACAATATATAACTGGTTCAGGCCCTCTGGTGGCGATTTTGGGTAATCATAAAGTTCATTTGCATAACAGCATACATGATAACATGTTATCATGTATGCTGTTATGCTGTTATGCATGAATAACAGCATACATGATAACATGTTATCATACATGCATACATACAGCATACATGATAACATAACATTAATAACAGCATACATGATAACATGTTATCATGTATGCTGTTATTAAAACTGTTGTTTTTAATTAAACTAAACTGGTTTGTATATTCTATTAGCATTCCATAAATTTGATCTTTTAAATTATTATTAAATATGATTAGAGTTATGTNTTGCTTTTAATACACCGGTATACAGTAGACCATCGATTATCCAAATCAATCAGGGATTGAGATTGTTCAGAAAATCAATTTTTCGAATAACTGATTATGTACAAAAAAATATATTTACCTATCCCATGTTGAAATTCATTCAAATCCTGGCACATCCTTAAATACCCTCTCACAAACGTGCCAGTGCTGCCAGCTAAAACACACACTTCAACAAAAATAATATTGGAGTAGCCCAAGACATAACCAAAGATTGCAGTGCCAAAGCACTAGCGGAAATTTAAATTTTCCGACTGGAAAACTTTCGGTTAATTGATGTTTTGGTTGATCAATATTCGGATAATCAATGCTCTACTGTATTTACATGCGCAAGAGATAATATATGTATTACTTTTGATTTTTCCCATTTTTGTGTATTACCTATTTCTTTTGGTTTTAGTATTAGTATGATAATTTTGTAATTTATTTACAGTTTTAAGCTGTATGTTTTAGAACACCAGAGGATGTTAAGTACAAAAGAAAAGAAAAAGAGGGAACAGAGTTTTGTCTGAAATAACAAACCTATTAAACATTAAAACTGTTGTTTTTAATTAAACTAAACTGGTTTGTATATTCTATTAGCATTCCATAAATTTGATCTTTTAAATTATTATTAAATATGATTAGAGTTATATGTAACTTTAATAACATTTAATAAAAATAAACAATAGCTGAAAAGAAGTTCTNCTGTTATTAAAACTGTTGTTTTTAATTAAACTAAACTGGTTTGTATATTCTATTAGCATTCCATAAATTTGATCTTTTAAATTATTATTAAATATGATTAGAGTTATGTGAGATTAGCAGCGGGTCATGGGTTAATCCCACAATGACCACTTACTCTGCACGGGCTGGTAAAACCTGATCTTGGCGTCTGTTGGATGGCTAGGAGGGCAAATTGAGTGGGGAGCGCGCCGGTAAGTTGGCAGGTGCCGTTTAGACAGGAGACAGGTCAACAGAATAACAAGCATTTATTAATTTACAAAACTAGGTTACAAGAATGCTGAAGCTAAATGCTATTAAAGTACGTACAGAAATTGGCGATTACGTTCTTAGCTAGGTCGCTGCCCTAGTTTCTAGTTTCTAGTTCAGAGAGAGAGCGCTTTTATAAAATCTACCCCTAAATACCTCTAGGTGGAAGGGAGAGTTGGCGAATGTCGTCTGTATGGAAGGGTCTGGTGTCTTCTATGTCTTCTCCGACGGGATCACAGTCCTTGGCATGGAGATCAACGAACACAAGTACTATGAATACCTTCCGTGTGCGGACGCCCTGAGCTTCTAGTGATCTCTCCTTTTATATCTTTTTGTGCAAGAGCTGACACGTCATCGCCTCTTGTTGACGATGACGATGCATTCTTCACACTTAACTGTAAACTTCCTCAGTTCGTTGTTACAAACACGGTGAAATTCGATATAGTTTAAATTCCTTGGGTTTTTTCTGAAGTTAATTAACCGAAAATTTAGATGTTTAAGCGGCCCGTACAAATCCAAAAAAATCTGCGCTTCACAGTTATATGTAACTTTAATAACATTTAATAAAAATAAACAATAGCTGAAAAGAAGTTCTGTAAACAAGACATATCTACATCAACTAAAAACCAATGTGATGTAAGGAGAAGCAGAAGAAGAAAAAAATAAACACAAGTTTGGCAGAAAGCAAGTAAAGTGGAAAATTTAATCAACTCAAAGATCCCACAATGAGATAGGTTCAAGTGCATAATTCTTTTAATTTAATAATCTGGAAGAAAGATAAATGAATTTTTAACAAATTTACCACCATTTTATGTGAACTTGTTACAAAAATGTCTTGTTAATAAATAACAATATGAGCAAAGAACTAAACTTTGTTATGTGAATTATAAAATTGTATGGATGAAAAGAAAAATAATGTAGAGAAAGTTTTGAAAACATAGCTATAGCATTAATGAAATAAACATGGTTTGACAAAGCAACATTGGTGTGGATTGATGTTCCTTTTCTAAAGAAATAATTCACAACATAAAAATTACAACATAGTTCCAAAGTACAATAATAATTTACAAATACCTAAAAATATTATTTGATTAATTTAATATTTGAAAATCAACTTCAACAATCACATTCATGTTATGTATGGTTTTATGTGCTATGTTATATAAATACATTGTACATTATAAATAATCTTTTCATTTGATAAAACAAACTTATGTAAACTTATTTATTTTATTGTGTACAACCCACTTATATTTGTTAACATGAACATTTAATAAAGCCTACACTTATTAATATCAAATTCTAATTGTCTCAACTTTATATATTCAAATATCAATAAAAAGCATAAATTCTTTCTAAAGACAAGATGAAATCTTATTAACTCTTTAGAAATAATAAAATGTAGAGCTGTTTACATATTGAAATCAAAATATACATTTCTTTATTATTTAAAATTCCAATTTAATCTGTTATCCAAGGCACTCGGATGCCATTTATATGGCTAACTTTACAATCACTTAGATTTTACAAATACATGAGCTGTTCACAGCCCGGCACACGTATTTGTAAAATCTAACTGACTCGTACAACATGGAATTCATATAAAATGGATTAATCAACAGTATTATAGGGAGTTGACTATTTTGTTCATTGCTGTTTTGATAAGTCTAGAGTGAAATTGGAAAAATATATAAAAATAAGGAAGAACATCAAAAATTCAAAACAGTACTATTATTTAAATTCTTGTAATAACAGAAATTTAAAATGTAGCAGATGTTAAAATAATATATATAAATGTAAGCCTGAATTGTACAGTAATCAAACTTTAAACACCAGATTATTTAAGATGATATCTTTAGATCAAATTACTTTATATTGATAATTAATAGCTAGCCAAGGTAGAGCCTGCAATAATCTAGTAATGAAAGATTTTATTATCTTGAAAGATATTATCTTATATTATTTTACTTCTTAAAAAAGTAGTTTCCTTCAAATCAATAAACTAACATCTTATTTGTTGCTGAGGGAGTTTATTAAAAATAAACGTTTTCATCTTCATAAACTAACATCTTATTCGTTGCTGAGGGAGTTTATTAAAAACAAACGTTTTCATCTCCAGGTTAGAACATACTAGTATGTTCTAACCTGAAGATGAAAACGTTTATTTTTAATCTTCAGGTTATGTTCAGGTTAGGTTTTTTAATCTTCAGGTTATGTTCAGGTTAGAACATACTAGTATGTTCTAACCTGAACATAACCTGAAGATTAAAACAGGTTATGTTCAGGTTAGAACATACTAGTATGTTCTAACCTGAACATAACCTGAAGATTAAAACGTTTGTTTTTAATAAACTCCCTCAGCAACGAATAAGATGTTAGTTTATTGATTTGTTCATTTTGCTGACAAGGGGACCTTACAGTCTCAGAAATTCAGTTCGGGATGAGACTTCGCAGGTTAGTAGTATATCTCAAGGGTGTCCACCCAGAAGAATTGTAAAGCACACTAGCCAGAAGATTCCGAAAAAAAAAAGGCTCTAAAGTTTTAAGCGCAGCTCACATAGTGGTGGATTTTACACTATGATAGCACAGAAAAGTGGCTGATTCTGTAGCGAACTTGCTTGGCACGTGGGCAATCTAGGTTCGATCCTACCTTGGACTAACTTTTTTTTTATTTTTAATTTATTTATAATGACCTAAAAATATTATCAAATAAATCATAAGTAATTTTGTTTTATTTATGAAATGACTGTTACACCTAATTAAACTGTGAATTAAAGATAATATTTTATTTTTGAAAAGTTGAATAATTTCAAGTGCATTTTTAATGGAGGTAAATTAAAACTTTAATTACCACTATAAAAAATTTTCGGATAGGGTTTTATTTACATAAAAATTTTTACAATATTGTCTTTATTAGTCAATTTTTTATTTTACATACAAGCACCAGAATGATAATTATCATAAAAACATTGAAAACAAAACTATTTTGACATCTTGCACGATTTATAAAGGACGACTGTTTACACAATCAACCTTTTTTAAAAAATCTATTGGAAAACATACTTCGTTTACATTCATGAAAATTTCTCTTTCATCAGAAAGCCTGGAAGCATACCAGGCATACTGGATCATTTCATTAAAAATTGGGAACAACAGTTGATGATGCACTATTGATTGTATTTTTATACAGTCTTCATGGGAATTTATTTCTCTATTATTTTCAATCAGATAAGTGCAATTTTGTATATGCTTTATTAGATTTTTTACCTGTCTATAAAAATAGACATCACAAGGTTGAACAAAAATAAAAATTTTTTAAAATAAAATATCTTTAATTCACATTTTAATTAGTTGTAACAGTCATTTCATAAATAAAATAAAATTACTTATGATTTAATTGATAATATTTTTAGGTCATTAACTTTATTTAAAAGTTGTTATAATTTTTAAAGCAATTAAAATAAAAATAAAAAAAAAAGTTAGCCCAAGGTAGGGTTGAATCTAGATCACCTGCGTGGCAACTGAGTTTGCTACTGAATCAGCCATTTCGCTGTGATACCATAGTGTAAAATTTACCGATATATGAGTGTGCTTAAAACTTTAGAGCCCTTTTTCTTGGAATCTTCTGGCTAGTGTGCTTTACAATTCTTCTGGGTGGACACCCTTGAGGTTTACTACTAACCTGCGAAGTCTCATCCCGAACTGAATTTCTGAGACCATAAGGTCCCCTTGTGAGTATGCTTTTGTTCAACATAATTTCCTTCTTTAGATTTAAGATTTAAGATTCTTTAGATTAAAAGATTGAAGAAGTAATACTTCTTATAATCTTATAATTTACAAAAACCTACTGTTAGGCTACTTACAGCTTTAGCTTTAGCCATTCTTAATATTGCTGGTCCACCAAGTTTTTCTAATTTAAGCTGAATTGGAATGTATGCCATTGGGATCACTTCAATTGGAATGCCTTTTGTCCATTTATCTCCCAAATTCTTTGAATCTTTTCTGAAATAAAGCAAATTTTCATATCAATAAATAGAAATCCTTCAAAGTTAATTTTTTTTAATATGTTATCTTTCAGTATTCACAATTATAACTTTTTAAATATTCTTGATAAATAATTAATATTCCAACTTGTAAATATATTAATAATTAATTCTTCATTTGGTATGATTGAATAAAATGCTTAGTACTAATGTAATCTGCTAAATTTTATTACTAAAAATTAATTTATTATTAACAGTAAGAATTTGATATGCAGTAGATAGATTAGATGAATATTATACTGTTTTGACAAATATCATGGTTAAAATATTTAATTACATTCAAAAAATTCTAAAAAAAGTATAGAATGGAATTTAAACATATACTGCGTACATATCTTATATCTAAATGCATTTAAAACAACTACTATGTATAAATATGTATATATGTCAGTGCATTTTCTAACATGCAACTGGACATAAAATGTGTAGTGGGAATTTTAAATTGTGCAATGGATATCCCATATTTTTGCAATAATCAATTGTCCAATTTCTGGGTTTTATAAGTATTTATTTCTTTTTGTTATGTTAAAGTTAAAATATTTACCTAAATTATGCAGTGTAAATATTATTCAGTCAATGAAAAAGAGCTACGGAAGGAATGTTTGCAGGATTACCATTTGTATCACATATATACAGTAAGATATTTTTTATGCAGCCACACCATAATCATCATTTAATATTATAACCCACAACCATAGCATAACTATCATGTATCATATAGTAAATTATATCACATTCAATTTTAATTGTTAATGTTCAAATGTATTCATACTCACTTAGAGTGTATCTATAACTCTGGATCTGTTATGAAAACACCAATATTTTACTACCTTTACACAGCTTTTATTTATTTCATTTATTTATTACATTCCTTGTGTCATTAAATTTCAGCTAATTGCACACAAGAAAATTTTTATAATTTGTATATTTCATAAATGTTTATTAATATTTACACATTCAATTGTCATTACAACTGACTGTGGCTGGGCATCATTATTTTCATTATTATTTTTTCAAATAGGTTTGACTCCTTTTCAATATGAATAAACAATCACAGAAAAGAGATAATGATGAGTGTGAGTAATTATAATGTAAAAAAAGAAATGACCAAAGGGCAATGATTCTATCTCCTTATGATCATGATTTGCAAAAATGTACCAAAGTTGTTACCAATACAACCTTCTCACTATGAGTATCAAAACCAAGCACTACAGAAAAAGATGATAAACATAATAAAAATGACCACTGTAAAAATTCATATTTCAAAAACATTGAAGAAATGGAAGAATTGATGTGTGAGAATTGGAAATTTCATGTCCATATAAGAAAATGTTCAGAGAGTAGTTCTCGTATTTAAAACAACAGAAAAATGAATCATGTAAGTTCTAAGATTAACAGTCCTTGGTTGAGGTTGCATCGATTCTCAATTTGACCCATCCCACAGACCAGGTTCCAATCTTATTACACCTAGTAACAAGTAATGACCAATTGAATAGCAGGGGTGAGGGAAAAAAACCAATTGAAGTGGTTGATCTGGGACCAGAAAAACATATAAAAACTTGAGCACCAAGGACACAGAGAGCTTCTCTACTTGACTTTCTATTGTGCAGCTTCATCCTTGGTGGAAATATCCTCCCCATCCCTAACTCCGAATCAAACTCATCATCTCCCTCGCTACAGATTACCACCCAACACTGCCCCAGGGCAACCTAGTCAACCCCATCATAGCAATCAACATTCTCAGTGAAGAGAAGAGATCATTGTTAGTGGACCCTTACCTTTAACAAAAGGAAAGGACACCTGAAAAAGTATCTGAAACCAGTAACTGAAATCCCATATAGTTCATATCTTCATATGTGTCTTCATATCACATCACCATGATCCTGAAATCATGGTGATGTGATATAAAGAATGAATATACTAAGCTGTAAGTGCATGATAAACAGACCAACCGGTAAATGCTACTGTGAAGACATTATCCTGTACCATGTTAGACTGCTCTGTGGTGCTGTAAACAAGAAGTTCAATCACAATCACAATACCCAACCACACTGTATGGCAATGGTAGATGAAATACTGGAGTGAGGATATTCATTACACAAATTAAGTGACCATCAGTGACTGAGTGGATAAAACAACTGAACACTGGTAGTTGGTTGGAAAACCCAGAAAACTCCACCAGCTGGCCATGTGGAGTTTTCTGGGTTTTCTTCATGTTTATAACATCTAAATAGGGGCTATCCCATAAAATATCCTATAAAAGACCTCCCAGAAGTCATTCCCCCCTCAGCAGATCATGTGTGTTGCATTGCTGTAATCAAATAAAATCAAACCATTACATAAAGTAACCAAAATACAGAATGCTTTCCAAATTTGAATTCTGTACAACATGTAAGGAGGTGTTCTGAGAAAACTCACTGCTGAACAAAATAAGCCACCAGATTTATCAATATATTAAAAAATATATTAATTATTGAAATTTTCATTTAACTGATAATTTTCAATAATTAATAAATTTTTTAAATATATAAGAATTCTAACTCTGATTATTCTTTATAAAAATTAATAGCAATCCATATTTGAAATTTTTAATTCATTAGATCTTACCTATAATCAGCAATCACAACAAACTTTTTTGAACATGAAGCAACAATCTTTTCTTGTGTTAAACAACCTCCACCTCCTTTAATTAAAGTTAACTGAAAGTCTGCTTCATCAGCACCATCAATAACAACATCTATCTTCATACAAAATAAATGATAATTATTATTATATAATTTATTCTAGGTGAAATTAATAATAAGTTAATAATTTAGTTTGAAGACAATTGTAACTTTTTTAATCTCCACTGTTTTGCATTGAAACTCTTAGTTTTCATTTGAAACTCATTTATAACATAGTAAAAACTCAATTATAAATTTAATTTTTCACACTTATAATAAAAATACTTTCTGTACTTTCGAATAAATTTGAATTTTAAAGTATTAGTTTTATTACATAAAGAGCTTCTAATGTAATAATTTATATTAACTGTATAGCAAAATGATGCTGACTTACAAATAAAAATTAATTTAGCATTATGAATACTTTAAAGATTTTTATCAGATACCTTTTTTTTATAATATTTAATAATTATAATGATAATCATCTAAAGCAAAACTTCCCAAGTGTAAACATGATAGTTAAAATTCTGTTTGCTCTATTAATTCTATAAGTTGTAATCATTTATCATATTGATGAAATTAAAATTTGCTTATTTATGAAACTATTAACAAAAATAATGAAACAATACATAAAAGCATTAAAAATTATTTCAACCTTAAACATGTTCTACTGTAATTTCATGTTGTTGACTGTAGACTGTGCTAACAGTTACAATCTCAAAGTTTCTTCTATTAGTTCTTCTTTCATGTAAGTACACATGCTGTCTTTATAGCATTTGTACTTATGTGGATAGTAACTATATTTTATATCAATATACACTTTGAATGTCAGCATTATATTTTACAAGTGGATTTTAGTTAGTTTTTCCTTCATCTTTATAAATCAAAAATACAATCTAAACAAGACATTATAAATCTATGGAAAAACAAGTAGTTGTAGAAGCTGATGTTCCTCAAAGACAAAATTAAAAGGATGGCTCATTTGCAGAGAAAGAGAATCAGTTCCTATGATTGTTTGCAGTTTCCTCATAAATTGATTTAGTAGAGACAAATTATAAATGTGAAAGCAAAATATCTTTCTACAAAAACACATTTTATTTTCTAATTACTGTATATATTTTTTAATCCCTTAATTTTATTTTTTCAATATATTTCTTCTTTCCTATATTCACAATTTTCATATTTACTGTAATTTTGCAATGCATTATCTCTGCAAAATGGAACTTTGTATATTTTTTTTTTATTNTTTTCATTTGAAACTCATTTATAACATAGTAAAAACTCAATTATAAATTTAATTTTTCACACTTATAATAAAAATACTTTTTGTACTTTCGAATGAATTTGAATTTTAAAGTATTAGTTTTATTACATAAAGAGCTTCTAATGTAATAATTTATATTAACTGTATAGCAAAATGATGCTGACTTACAAATAAAAATTAATTTAGCATTATGAATACTTTAAAGATTTTTATCAGATACCTTTTTTTTATAATATTTAATAATTATAATGATAATCATCTAAAGCAAAACTTCCCAAGTGTAAACATGATAGTTAAAATTCTGTTTGCTCTATTAACTCTATAAGTTGTAATCATTTATCATATTGATGAAATTAAAATTTGCTTATTTATGAAACTATTAACAAAAATAATGAAACAATACATAAAAGCATTAAAAATTATTTCAACCTTAAACATGTTCTACTGTAATTTCATGTTGTTGACTGTAGACTGTGCTAACAGTTACAATCTCAAAGTTTCTTCTATTAGTTCTTCTTTCATGTAAGTACACATGCTGTCTTTATAGCATTTGTACTTATGTGGATAGTAACTATATTTTATATCAATATACACTTTGAATGTCAGCATTATATTTTACAAGTGGATTTTAGTTAGTTTTTCCTTCATCTTTATAAATCAAAAATACAATCTAAACAAGACATTATAAATCTATGGAAAAACAAGAAGTTAAAGAAGCTGATGTTCCTCAAAGACAAAATTAAAAGGATGGCTCATTTGCAGAGAAAGAGAATCAGTTCCTACGATTGTTTGCAGTTTCCTCATAAATTGATTTAGTAGAGACAAATTATAAATGTGAAAGCAAAATATCTTTCTACAAAAACACATTTTATTTTCTAATTACTGTATATATTTTTTAATCCCTTAATTTTATTTTTTCAATATATTTCTTCTTTCCTATATTCACAATTTTCATATTTACTGTAATTTTGCAATGCATTATCTCTGCAAAATGGAACTTTGTATATTTTTTTTTTTATTAATGAAATGCTAAATGATCTGAGATTGTATTTTTGGCTGATTCAACATCTAATCAACAAATAAATTGTAATATAATAGTTTTTTTTATGGTAAAATAATAAACAATATGATATTTGTGAGATTTAAATTTTTTTTCAAAGTTTAAATAAATTGAGAAACTATTTTCTACTTTTCCATGGACTACTTTCTAGTTATAATTCTATTTTAAAATGGAAACTTTAATTTTTATTAAGTATGTTTGTTAAATAAAACTTAATTTTTAATTAATGTTAAAAGAGTAAACTTTTTATAATTCTTTCAAACTCTGTCATCTGAAATTATTTTGATCATTAATATTTTAATTCAAAATTTAGTCACTATTTCCAACGAAGCAGCAAAATTAACACCAATCAGTTTAATGATTCTCCAATATATAAACAATAAAAATTATTAAAAAATTATACTTTTACCTCTGGATGCTCTTCTAAACTTGATAAATTTAGTCCATATTGTCTGATTAACATTTGGGACTGAAAAATAACAATATTGCTTACTTGAAGCATTTAAAATAAAGTATGGAAAAATATATATATCATAAAAGTATTAAAAATTTCTGGTGGCTTCAGAATTATCTGAACAGGTTAAGATATATATACAAAAAATAATTATTCTATCAGGTATTTTAAATGGAAAAGAGCAAGGTGAAAAGTATAAATTGACATTGATATTATTATTCAGCATTAAATTTTAAAAAACTTTCCAGAATTCCTTTTCTTTTTTTTTTATTAATATAACAATATAATTTCAAGAATAAAGGCTATCAAAATTTCCAAAACATTTAGTACTTAGAATATTTATTTAGTGATCTGATATTCCAAAGATAATTCTGAATAAATATTTCTATTTTAACTCTTAATACAACTAATTCACATTAATATAAATCACAAGGGGTACTGTAGTTAGTTCACTTTTATCAAAAATTCATATTAATTAATGATTTTCAGGGTGAAGGTAGTATAATTTAGGAAGTTATAACTTAATAGTCAATTAAAATTTATAAATTAATAATATTTTAAATTAATTTACTAAATAAAGTTGATTAAAATTAAATTTATTTACAAAAACAAATTAATATTTGAAATGATTTTCAAATCAAACAAAATGAGGAAGAGATGGTATTTGCTGTTTAAGTATGAAGCAATATATCAGAGTGGTTAAACAAAACAAAGCTAAAACAAATCCATGATTTTTTTTCTGTTGAAAATTGTTTGAAAAAATAGAAAATATTTTTTGGCACTGTTGTATGCACTGTATAATATTCAAACTAGCATGTGTTTGCATGGGATTGCATCTATTTAGAGGAGTGGCTGTCCTTAAACTTTAACCCCTATTTTCTGAGTACAATAGAATGATTTGCTAAAACCATATGTTTGAATTACTCTACAATCAGAGGTCAAACCCATCTTTGCTTATTAGGAGAAGAAAATCTATTCTACTCAAAATGGAACATTTATTACAGTAACACTTTTTATTGTTCACGTCAAAAAGCATAAAAAGTACTCATTGTTGAAAATAGGGTTATTTCTTGAGGCAGTGANAATTACCATACAGAGGTCAAACCCATCTTTGCTTATTAGGAGAAGAAAATCTATTCTACTCAAAATGGAACATTTATTACAGTAACACTTTTTATTGTTCACGTCAAAAAGCATAAAAAGTACTCATTGTTGGAAATAGGGTTATTTCTTGAGGCAGTGAAGATAATCTACAGTTCAATTTAACAAAGTGTGGTAAAATTTTTGTTCACTTTATTGCATGAAAATTAATGCTGTAACGACAATGTTTTGCCAAGGCAACAGTAAAATTCACTTTAACACAAGAATTTGTTAATCAGTGTTCATTTTAAGGTCAGTTGACTGTATATATAAAATAAGTTTATTACTTTTGCAAATTGACACATTTGTTGAATGACCATTTTATTTTAATCAAATTTTTCATTTAATCAAAATTCTAACTAAAACATTTACAAAAAAAGAAACACATTAAGTATTAAGTATATTAATGAGGACTTATCACACCATAATCAAAACATAATTTTCATAAATTATTTAAAACTGTATGCTCCAACTGAAGAGAGATCAAAAGACCTGAAATATACAGTACATTTTGTAGTTAGTTAAAAGAATAAAGAGGTTCTAATCTGATCACATTTTTGATTGTGGTGTGATAAGTCCTCATTAATACCCTAATTGGTAGCTATATTGAAATTAAGGAAAATATAATTAAATAATAATCAAAGGATGTAAAGCATTTTATAACAAGTAAAAATTAAGTATATTAATTCATTTAACTCATTAAATACAAAGTAATAGAATGTTTAATATTAAAAACATAATTTTTAAGTAACAAATGCACATATCTATAAGCCTTTTACCAATGCATGTTTCATCACAATATACAATAAAGTTACAAACATTTTTGAACCCTTACAGTTCTTCTTCAGGTAATGACCCCTTAACGGAATGTGCTTCGATTCAAAGTTGTTAAGAAAACAGTTTGAAAATGTTTGTAACTTTATTGTATAGTATGATGAAACGCACACCGATAAAAGGCTTAGAGATACATGCATTTGTTACAGTATTCCGGTGTAGATATTCTACCATTTTTAATTTTTAAGTATTTTCAACAATAAAAAAAATGTTACTTTCAACCAGAATTAGTTTATTTATGTTATGAAATTTGATAGCTTAAAGTTAAAAAAGTTTTACTACCTGAATGGATGTTGGAATACAAGAAATTTTTAAACCTTCTTTTTTAATCCTTTCAGCTAGAAAAATATAAAACATCAATAATAATTATAAAAAATGCATAACTTTAAAATATGTATAAAAACACTATATAAGATTTTTTTTGTATAATTTTATATCTAGAAGATTTCTGAAAGTGTTGATTTAAAATATAATGACTAAAATAAATAAACTATTACAGTAGAGCATCGTTTATCCGAATCAATTGGGGACTGGGGTTGTTCGGATAACTTATTTTTCGGATAACCGATTTTTCTCTGTTGCGTGTCGCTTTGCGTTGAATTTTCATCGATGTTAAGCCTAACGTAAACTTTTTAAAATAATAATCGTGGCTATTGTATCGTTAAAAATGATTTCTTTATGTTTTACAAACGAAATAAATACATTGAAAAATATAAAAACAAATAAAAATTATACTTTAGACCGACTGGAATTCTTTCGGATAACCAACCTTCGGATAAATAACGCTCTACTGTAATACAATTTCTAAATTTATTACAATTTGAATCATTTAAATTTACATAATTAATTCATTATTTTTGATTGAAAAGTTAGCCACATAACTAGTTTGAAACAGTTTCATTAACAATTTTGTTGTAAACAGAATTATGATTCTAAAATATATACCACATTTACTCGCATATAGGATGAGGTTTTTATTCATTTTTCACTGCTTCAAATACCTAGGTCATCCTATATATGCAAGCAAAGGATTCTTTGCGTTTTTGTAATAATTTTTGTCAACAGTGTATTCACATTTTTTACTGGATGTTCGTCCTGTGGTGTTTAAAAACAAAACTATTTTATCTGGGTCATTTGAATCATTCTTGTATATTGTCAGAAGTAAAGATGAATAGCAATAGGAAAAGCAAAGCTTCAGAATTGAATTCCAAATTGAAATCCTAAAATTGGTCCACCAGTGGCCATGTGGTTCCATTCTCTGAACACTGGGAGTTTGGTCATGAGTTCAAGCCTTGTTAGGATGGGCTGACCACGTTGAGTTTTCCAGATTTTCTCCATGTCTGTAACACACGAATAGGGTCAATTACCCTTAAAAAGACCTCTCAGAAGGCATCCCCCCAGACAGATCGCCCAAGTGTTACGTTGCCATAACATAACAAAACAAACAAACAAAATTCCAAAATCACACAGGAACCCAAACAAACAAACAAAATTCCAAAATCACACAGGAACCCAAACAAACAAATATAATTCCAAAATCACACAGGAACCATGTGATAACAGACGATTATTCAGAAATCAGAATTCGGAAAAACTCAAAAGTGTAATTGACGTAAAATGGATTTGACTGTTAAGAATTGGCAAAACAAAAGGTTCCTGATTGTCCAGCTTTACATGAACAAATTATGTTGTCGATTTTACAAGATTTTTCCTTAAAGTTTAAAAGGTTAGCAATTTTTGCGAGACAATGTTTGCATTTACGTGCATTTGATAATATTTTACTTGTGATTAAATGATTTATAATTAGAACTGTATTAATATACCTAATTTTCTTTATTTTGATCTTTAATTAACCTTGTCCTATATGCAAGATCAACTCATACAAGAGTAAATACAGTATACAGTATTACTATAAAGACCAATAAAAGTCTGTTTGGAAAGTTGTCTTAAAAAGTAATAAAAAGTTTATTTTGCCTTCAGTCATTCTTCACTTACTAGATGCTAGACACTTCCATGAATGTTTTGTTTTATAATAACTCTAACAATTTCTCAAAAACAACTGGTAACAAAATCAAAACAATTATTAACCTAGGAGACAATTTATTTGTGATGCAAAAGTAGAAACATTTTCTGATTAAAAAATAAACAAATTTATGAAAAAAATTATTTAACAATTATGAGGGCTGTTCAGAAAGTTCGTGGCCTTGCCTATATACGGCGCTGCGATCAATTTAATTTTTGGTGGGAATAATTCAGCCATCTTTTCTAGAGATACAATACCAATTTCCACTTGATTTGTCACCACAACAGCTTAGCAGATAGTCAGTGTGCACATGCTTTGTCAAAAATGGAGAAGACAGAGACTCGTGCAGTCATAAAATACCTGACGAAAAAAGGGTTGACCCCATCTCAAATCAAAGCTGACATGGATGAAGTTTTGGGAGAGAGAGTCTGCTCCTTCGTACACCACTGTGAAAAAATGGACAGCCCTTTTTAAATCTGACAGAGAGAGTGTGGAAGATGACCATCGCAGTGGACGGCCATCAACTGCTGTCACTGAAGCAAATATCAACAAAGTCCATGATTTGGTATTAGCAGATGGCCGTTTGAAAATGCGTGAGATAGCTGAGACAACAGGCATCTCTGTCGACCGAGTGCATCGCATCCTAACCGAAAATTTGGGTATGACAAAGGTCTCAGCAAGATGGGTGCCGCATCTGCTGACTGCTGAGCAAAAACGTGTTCGCACTTTGATGTCAAAAGAATGTTTAGACTTCTACCAGAGAAACCCACAAGATTACTTGCGTCGGTTTGTGACTACTGATGAAACATGGATCCATTACTACACTCCTGAAACAAAAGAACAGTCAAAGCAATGGAAACACCTCAGTTCACCACCACCAAAGAAGGCAAAGACAGTTCCATCAGCGGGGAAAGTGAAGGCCTCGCTTTTTTGGGATACTAAAGGCATCATCTTTACTGACTACCTAGAAAGAGAAAAGACCATTAATGTTGTCTATTACTGTAAACTTTTGGAAAACTGAAGAAAGAAATCAAAGAAAAGAGGCCACACTTGAAAAAAAAAGTTCTGTTCCACCACGATAATGCACCTGCACATTCCGCCAGAATCACTAAACAAAAGATAAATGAACTTCACTTCCAATTAGTTCCACATCCACTGTACTCACCTGATTTGGCCCCAGTGACTTCCACCTTTTTCCAAACCTAAAAAAATTCTTGGCTGGAAAGAGATTCCACTCAAATGACAAAGTAATCTCTGAAGTGAACGAGTATTTTGCACACCTTGACAAATGGACCTATTGTGATGGCATAAAAAAGCTAGAACATCACTGGAATAAGTGCATTGCTAACAAAGGAGACTACATTGAAAAATAAAAAAAGTTTTAACCTTATTTTGTTTGTTGTTCTATTTGAGGCTGCGAACTTTCCAAACAGCCCTTGTACAAAGCTATAGTATAACTTAAAACCATAAATGTAACAAGTACAAGTTATATTGTAACTTTGTAATTGTAACATTTACATTACTGTATATCTTAAATTTATTATCTTCAGATAATTTTTAAGATATAAATCCAAAATATTTAAGCTAAAATATATTTTTTTTAAATTAAAGTTAAATTATATCAACGCATTGCATATAAATAAAATTTAGACTAATTATTATAATTTTATAAATAATTTACAAATACATTACATTAAAATTGAGTCATTTAAAAATTTAATGTTTACCAACCTAAATGTTCAACAGCATATACTGCAGTTGTTCCACTACCAATTCCAACCACAAAATTATCCTAAAATATAAAAAGTCCTATATAAAAATCTCAAAAATTAAGTATTTTTCTAATTTAAATTTAAAATGTTTCATTAAATAACTAAAAAATTTCAATTCATGATTTCATTTTCATTTGGTCTATTTAACTTTATCAAAGAAAATCAATAAAGTATTCATATTTAGATATATTTTTTTCAGTTTAATATTTTTTAATTTCAGCATTAATTTATTGGAGGCCAAATATTTAATTACTATAAATATTCAGGGCTGTGGAGTTGGAGTCGTGGAGTTTTGGTGTTTTGGCCGGAGTCGGAGTCTTCAAAAAAACCACCGACTCCGACTCCCTTGTTACTCACCAACTTGTTATGTATATGAAACAGAGTCGAAGTCGGAGTTGGATGGTAAGGAAAAGTCGGAGTCGAAGTTGGTAGATTTTTACGCGACTCCACAGCCCTGTAAATATTAAACTTAAACATTTAATATTTATAGTAATCAATTATATTATAAACTTAAGTTAAAATTTGTCAGTCAGAACTATTTTATTTCAAAAAAGATGATTAATGCAGTCTTTAAGTTAAAATTCTATTTAAAAAGTTTGGAGAGTATTTTATTTTCCTACACCATACATGAAAATAAAGCTGAATTCTTGAACGAAATAAAGAATTTGTTCAAACAAATGAAGATAATTTTTAATTAAAATAATTTAAATAGAATTTCTATTGCAAAATGTTAATGTTTTGATAAGACTATTAATTATAATTTTGGGATGATAATTCTAAAACATATAGGCTAATTCACAATAATAAAAGTAAATACAAATGTAAATACAGTAGATCCCCCTATAAGACGGTAGATACGTTCCGTTCTTTATGAATCAATTTTGTAGGAATCATAGTTTACGGACTACGGCTGTTTGAAAGGTTTTCTTTCATAAAATTAATCGATTCTAGACTAATTCGACTCAACATTTCCAAAATACGTATATTTTTTTG